ATCCTTGTTTCAATAATTTGAGTATTGAACTAATTTCTACCTAGCTAATTCAGGTGTCTTTTTTCCTTCCATCATGCACTACTTACTAATTAATTAGAGCCCTAGATGTGGGCATTTCGGCATATATATGTATGTATCCTACTCGATCATATTATAGTTGAAGTTGTTTTATCACCAAGACTCCACTACATACATATTATTGTACGATGTAATGATTTGTGGTCAAGAATGTCTTATATATTAGACATTAATATCACACACACACTTATATATATGTATATATACACACACACATGTCAATTAACAAGACTGTGACCGAAAAGAAGTAGAGTATTTTATATATGTAGTCTTACATGTTTATCGAATATCTTTTTGACCATTGGCAAAGATAATGTTGACAAAATTAGACGGTTGGCGATAGATACATGTATTATATATATATAGTCCACCCACGTTAACTCTTAACATTTAGATTAGTAATTCTTTTAATCTAAATTGCCACGTTTCCCATAATCAATCAATCAATCAATCATATGTTATAGTAATAATAACAATATAACTCAATGTTTAAACCCGAGAAGCTGACCTTAATTAATTAGTTTTCAATAACTAGCTTATTTGATTAAGGATTAAAATCACTTCTTTTTTATAAGTTTATTAAACTAATGTTGATTATTCAATTGATCTTTTCATAATTAAGACCGGTCAACAATACAAAATTAATTATAATCTTAACATATTATTTTGTTTAGTGCTTAATATATTATTTAAATGTAAACAATGTTGGAAAGATGAAACGTGTCTGTGTGCGAGGATGACAACGTTATAAAATATCTACACAAACTATGATGTTTGGAATTTGTAAACGTGGCAAAGCGACTTTGACTCTTCTGATCTTCTGGGTCGTCGGTGTATGATAAGGTGGTGGCATTCATCATCGTCCATCATGGGTGATGATTACTTCTCCCTCAATTGCAGTAAATTTCTACCATATAAATTTGTATCTACACGCATTTTCCATTTTATAATACAGTTTGTATGATGTAAGAGTGCATCAAATCAAGTTATGATGTTGAATTTATAAATTCAAATCATATAATTCATTTATAAATTGAAGGGTTGTATCGTTTGGATTTATTACAATATTTCAGAATGATTTTTGAGATGCTAAGACCGTGTGGTTTAAATGGCATGTGACATTTTTCATTACAAAATTTTATATATTTTTTGTTGAAGGAAAAAAAAAAAATCATTAGATACTAAATTTTTTAAATTAAAATTTTTAAATAAATATGATTAAATTTTAATTGATGAATCAAAGTAAATATTTTTTTTTTTAGTTCATACACCACTGAAAGATTAGTTATAAAAGAAAAATCAAACTTTCTCTTAATCATCATCATTATGCAAAGAGAATAAATTAATTGAAATTAGTAAGTATGTATATGTCTTATTTAGCATTGTGAAATATATATATTTTTTATATATATATATATATAACTTATGATTGAAATTCATTTAAAAAAATTTCAAAAAACTATTAACAAGGACTAAAATGAATATTTTATAATTATATGCAAAATTTTGGTATAATAATCAATACATAGAAATCTTCCATTAATACCGTGATTTATAGCATAATAAGTATCAAGAATTACAATTACTTACTGTTATTAATTGATTGTTGAGTTTGTTGCACATACTTGTCATTATATTATTATATCCTGTTAAAAGAAATTACAATCACAAAATCAAAATATCCTTGGAACTATGTGGTTTGTATGTGTGTTCAGAAGATTAGAAGGTAAAAAATCTCTGAGAGAATAGAGGTATGGAAAATGCAGAAGAAAAAACAAGAATTCTACTGCTTCATTTGAACTTTAAATAAACATCTCACAAATCGTTGCTCATGACATTAATGGCTTTCAGTAAGTAGCTAAAACAGGTTGTTTGTTACCTCAAACATGTCTGAAGCGGAACTCGTTCGCTGAACAACTTTCCTACATAGCTTAAACCAAAAGATTAAAAACTAAATCACGGTTAAAACCTTGTTTAAGGACCGAGGGCAAAATGTCAACCCTTCAAAAAGACTTACTGAGCAATTATTTCCCAAAAAGAAAAAGAGAAATAGGGGTAAAGCTAGCTAGGAGTAGAAAATGGGGTTAAAGGCTAGGCAAGGTATCACCTGAAATCTCATTAGAAATTAGTGGAACACATAATGGATAGCAAGCCGTGCAGTTCATTTTTATAACTACACGTGGCGAAGTATATACACGCACGCACACACACACACATATAGGTTTTGTTCCAACTGTTTCTTTTTTTCACTCTTTCTCTGTATTTTTCTTGACTTTTCTGGATGCAGTGTTGGGCACTTAAAAAGATGATGGCGAGGGGATAAATGGGATCTTTAAAGTTTCAACACCAAAAGACTGCAAGTTTATTTTTAACCCCAACAAGGTTTGCCCGTTATAGGGATATATTGATGCTTTATTGAGAAAAGTGAAAAAGGTACATATGGGGACTTGTCACAGGCTTGCCATCTCAGTTCTAGCTTAATTTTGTGGACCTCTGTAAGCATATACTACTAATATTATCATACCCATATGCAGTTGGACTTAGTATTTCTCACTAGTATGCATCAACACGGGCAATATTTGTACTGTAACCTGAACATGTGCGTACATTTATGAATTTATTTAAGAAATTCTTTCCCCATTAAAAGAATATACCACTTTTTCCTTGTGTTCTAGGCTGTTTTTCAGTAAAGAAAAGAAAAATGCCTGCGGGGTCATGTTTTGCACCGAGAGAATAAAATGAACCGAACCTGGCTTTTACAAAAATTATGAATAATATATATATCTGTTGTATAATATTCCACTGCTAGCTTGCATATACATTACCTTCAATATATAATGTGTGTGCACCTAAAATGGAATATCTATATACATATAAAAATATATATCTTGAGGGAGAAGGTAAATGGAGGTCAGAATAAATCAAGAAGTGACTTCCCACTAAAAAACGCAAAGAAGATAGTCTGGTACAAGCTATATTACGAATATATGTTGTGTATGAAAGTAGCTTAGTAGCCACTATCAAAGAAAGAAAGAAAGGAAGCTGGACACCACTAACTTGAAAGGCAGTACAGGCTTGTTTTCTGTAGGTTGAGGGAACTCCAATTACGGCAAGTTAATTTTTATTGCAGACGTGTTGATTTAACCTCACTAACTCGCTTGTACAATTAACTGCAGCCATGGTATCTACTTTAATGAACATTTAGCAACTTGCACTTAGATGATAAAGGATATATATATATAATATATATAAAGGATGATCAGAGAACTAATTAATTAGTACTGTATGTTGGAGAGATTCCATAAATGGGGGACAGAACCTGGAGAGTATAAGAATATCCTTTCGTCAAAAGGATTTGGAAAAGTGAAATTGATATAACTGGAAGCAAATTATACAAGCACGTAGCTCTGGCGATAACACTTTAGTGCATGCGTGTCTTTATCCTAAAACTATGGATTCCATCTCAATTTTCTTACAGCTATACTCTCCGTACACATACATTAACACTGATTCCCAGCATTTCTTTCTTCAAGCTAGCTCGTACTCACGTATGTTTATAAGATAGAAAATTTTAGTTTCATGTCTGGTTTTGCATGGACTTGAATATGGAACTTTAACTAAACATGAAACTTAAGATTACGTTTCTGCCTCAGGATAAAGTAATTTGGTAGGGTAAAGTAAGTGACTTGCGGCTAAAATTTTATTTTAGGCCTACGTTTGGCATATTTGGTAAATACGTAGAGTAAAGCTTGCTCCATTTCTTCTTGCTAGCTATAGCTGTTCTCTCTTCATGGCATTCCATCAGTTGTCATGGATCCAATCATTTGACTCTTTTATAGAGATTATTAATTAATGGTTAAAGTTTAAGTTTGAGAGGAATGAAATCTTTTCAATTATATAAATATTTTATATAATTTATTGATTTGATTAACGACCGTCAAAACTCTTGTGAAATAATTAAGAATAAAACTTGTTTCATAAAATTTTTAAGAGTCCTTTATGCTTCTTAAGAAAGTCATTTAAACTTGATATTTTCTTGAACATGACAATGTTTGAGAATTGATGAATAATGGTGAAGGCGCCTTGATATTTCTTCCTTTTCATGAATAATGGTAAGTGCGTATTGATCTGTCTATCTAATACTTCCTTTTTTTTATTGGCTTCAAGGTCCCATGGGTATTCAAAACCTTTTTATCAACCATATTACATACTTTTTGAGAACCAATTATAGTCTCCATTTAAAGTGCCCCAATTTATGGAGTTAAACTCGGGAAATTATAGATGCTGCACTAAAAGAGAGACTCTTTTTTACACAAAATAGTTACACAAAAGGCTCTTATACCATTTCTTTTTTTTGGGGAAGTTTTATGCATACTCCACATACTCACACAAGAAATGGATAACGGAACTCATTATATGCTCCTAAACTTCTCTTAGAAATGACTTCGATTTATTTTATCCACTCATATGGTTGTTTATAGACATCATGAAAGAAACTTTCAGACTGAAGATTAACTACTCCTTTAATTGCAAATTATTTACATAGCAAAAGGTAACACAAAACAGTACAATATATAATTCTAGATACATATCTTTCCATGGAGTGTCACAATTTCTTCCATTGGGTTGAAAAATAACAATTCAAATCTATCCTGTCATAAATCTCGCATCCATACAGCAAAAATCCCTCAAGTTAAATAGAGTAGTATTTTCCCTGGATGGAAGCTAAACCACTTGTTTGCCTCTTACAAAATCTACAAAGCCTGCATAATAAGTTTTATGTACACTCACTATTGAGAAGACTTTTCAAAGAAACTAATATAAATTAAACGCCATATATAACAACATAAAGTCACTGTTAGACAACCAGAAAAATACTGAGTTGTGAAGGGATTGGGGCATTGGGAGAGGAAAGAATCAAATTGCAGGAAACCAAATCCATATTATAACACACGGCTTGAAGAAATTTTTACAGAGAGGAGAAAATTAAGCTGTAAACATTCAATTACAGAATCCCACAGTAAATTATCTGTATATAGTTGACACCAAAACCTAGCTCAAGTACATCTATAATACTTTATCATTAAACTATCAAGATATGGCCCTTTAGAATAAAACAAGAGATAGAGGAAGGAAGAGAATTATAGATAAGATGGTGCTCAGAAGCTAAAATTTAGCCAGTGTTCCTCATTCCAGCAGCAATGCCATTTATGGTGATAAGCAGTGCATCTCTAAGTTTATGGTTATCGTCGTCATGTCTCAACCTCTTTAATACTTCCACTTGTAACAAATTCATAGGATTGAGGTAAGGAAGTCTGCTCTCAATCAGTCTCCTCAAACTCCGATTATTCTCAGACAATTTCTCGTGTCCACTAACCACTAACACATATTTTCCTGTTGTTAAGAGCTCTCCCCTTAGTTCAGCACCAAGTTCCTGCCTGCTCTCTGACACAAGCACTTCATCATAGTGCTTGGCTATCGGAATGTCAGCTTTTCCTAAAACCATCTCTATAAGGTCTATCGTACATTGAAAGAAAGGCCATTCTTTGTACATTGCTTTTAAGTCTTCAGTATATCCTTTTTCACAAACACCCTTTAAACCAGCTCCAACTCCAAGCCAAGCTGGAAGAACAAACCTTGTCTGGGTCCACGCAAAAACCCATGGAATGGCACGAAGATGTCCAATTCCTATCGAGCTCTTTCTTCTAGTTGGGCGGCTTCCTATGTTAAGGAAGCCAAGCTCTGCTTGAGGTGTAGCCTCATGGAAGTAAGCAAGAAATTCTGGGTTTTCATAGACTGTGCTTCGGTAACTTTGGCAACTAATTTTTGAGATCTCTTCCATGAGATTACGCCATTTTTCTTCTCGAGGCGGGAGAGGAGGACGTACAGTTGCTAGCAGCACAGCAGTTGTGTATATCTCTAGTTGCCTAACAGCAGTCTGTGGCAAGCCAAATTTGGCCTGAACCATCTCTCCTTGCTCTGTTGACCGAAGGGTACCCTGACAATCAGGATCAGATCATTTCAGAGAGTAAAAAGAGGGCATTTGGAAATAATCTGTATGTAAATCTCCTAGGCCTATGACTTCAGAATCCTACTATACACCAAAATATAGGTACCTTGCAGGAGTCCCAACAATCAGGTTCATCATTTCTGAATTATGATAGCTTACGCTTTTGTTCAAAACAAAAATTGCCAGAACCAAATTTTAGTACAAAGTTAAAATCTAAAGTGAAGCAACTAATACAAGTATCATGAGTCTAACTGTTGATTTCTATCACATAACAGAAAATAACTCTTTAAAGCATCAAAACTAAAACCAAACCATATTTTCTTATCAACCAAAATTTGGAAGAGAATATAACACCAATATTCCAAGACCTGAATCAAATACAAAACTCACCATTACCGGGCCAGGTGGCTGTTGATACAACTAATACAACAACTACAAGAATCATGAGTCTAACTATTGATCTCTATCACAAACAAAAATAACTCCTGAAAGCATCGAAGCTAAACCAACCAATATTTTCTTATCAACCAAAAGTTGGAAGACAATATAACACCAATATTCCAAGACCTTAATCAAATACAACACTCACAATTACAGAGCCAGGTGGCCGTTGATACAGCTAATACAACTACTACAAGTATCATGAGTCTAACTGTTGATTTTTACGGACAACAAAAAATACCTCTTGAAGCATCAAAGCTAAAACCAACCCATATTTTCTTATCAATCAAAAAGTTAGAAGACAATATAACACCAATATTCCAAGACCTGAATCAAATACAAAACTCACCATTACAGAGCCAGGTGGCTGAGACTGAATGGCAAGATATGTTGGGCCACCACCACGGCCTATACTCCCTCCTCGACCATGGAAAAGAGTAACTTTGATTCCATATTCATTGCATGCAGCCACAACATCCTCTTGGGCTTTGTACAGCTCCCATGCAGCAGTGAAGCGCCCAGCATCTTTACCAGAATCAGAGTATCCAACCATAACCTATCAACAGTAACTTCATAAGCCATATAATATCGGTTGGAAATTCACCAAAATTCAGTTTCAATAATATTTATATATATCTATGTATATACATACATACATACCTCTTGATGTCCATTATGGTTCTTTTTAATGTGCTCCAGATACCAATCAATTGATAATAATTTTCTTATCACTGAACCAGCTCCCCTAAGGTCCTTAACAGTTTCAAACAGGGGAACAACCCGTAACCTATTATAAAAAATTTGTCAGATTGCTTCCTCTCCATGCACTATGAATAATGTTAAGGGTACGCAACAAAGATACTGAGTTCAGGAGGGCCACAAACAAGTCCAACAGTTCAAAAACACTAAAAGGTGTTTAGCTCAATATAGAGCTTATCTTGAATTTAGCTACCAAGCTTCTCCCAACTTTGGTTTGACATACAAACAAGCCAAAGTCAAACAACTACTTAAGGCTTGTCTCACAAACAAGCCAAAGTGAATCACTCATCTCTGATGTGAGTTTGATCCACAATGTAACATGACCTTGAAATATTCAAAACCTGATGAAAAAGTAAACGTATCTGCATATGCCAGAAAGTCATTTTGAACATGTATGTTACATGAGAAGAAAAGCATCAAGTTTGTAACTTTGAAGAAAATGCATATCATTTAACATTAAAATGTCAAAACATGTGCCAGAGTCTTATGGCTCAACAACAAATGCTCCTGTTTGGGCTTGTCAATATTTGGGTTCTATTCTGCCCTTATGCATTTAAAAACTTGCCAACCTATATGTGTCATTTCTGTTAAATTCTACTTACGTTCCACCAGGACATGGTTTTCCTAACTCGCCGCTAACAGCAAGTCGGGCATCCTTCTGCAAGAGCTCGACAGCTAGAACATCACTTGCCTGTCAAGAATCAATTCCAGGCTAATGTTAGTGTTTATTTGACAGAAAAGTTATACACGAGCTCTTCTCCATTTACACTTTGAAATGATTGTGCACGACCAAAAGTTCAGAGTAATTCATACATTTGAGGCCATAGAAATCACATAAGCTCCAAGTGAATCACTCCCTAGCTCTGCAGCAACACGGAAAGTATCCAAGACTTCTTGAACATCTGGAGCAACCTGAAAAGACAGTTGATTTATTTGAGTAATGCACAGAAATGGTAACCCTTAGTAAATCATCTAGTCAGAATTCTTCTAGAAAATAACATTTCTAGCTCAACTATGGCATAGATGACCAATTTAAGGTTTATTTCTTCAGTAAATCGTCCAGAGAGTTAAGAACTCCATAACAGCAGTCTACACATGACAGAAGCAATATGAACACAGGACATATAGGTTTAACATAAAAATAGTCTCGACGATTGCACAGGATACATAATATGAAATAAAGATAAAAAAAGGTAAAGAATATCAGAAGACTGCAAATCTCAACACACAACCAGCCTTAACTTCATTCCCTCTACTAGAAGAAGTATGTTCGAGTACCTTAAGCTATAAGCCCTGTATAATGGGCTTGGAATCAAAACAGAAAAAGCACAAGTCTCAACCCAAAAAAAAAAGAAAAGAAAAGAAGAAGTTGAACCTTCACTGCAGAATGATCATAATTAATTTGAAAATAATATACCTCAATAGTAGGAGGAACAAGTGGCCTCTTTCCTTTCAGCTCTCTTGTTAAGAATTCTAGCTTCTTCTCTTCATCCCATTCATTGTATGTACCCATATCCAAATATTGAGTAATTGCATCTAGTGCTTCGGCATGTCTACCAGATTCCTGGAATGTTACCGAAGAGAAAATCAGTTTAAACAAAGTATGTGAGCAAGTTATAAGAAATAAAGATGGAAATAAGCTGCACCTGACGCAAGTCAAGCTTCATTAGCACCATTCCAAACGTAGCAACTCTTCGAATCAAATCAGCAAGTCGACCATCTGCTAGCACCCCAGCTCCACATGATTGCTGCACAATTCAATGTATATAAGATGTTCTTTCTTTTCTCTAGGTAGCTTGTTCCATATATGTAGGTATTACCAAAGAGTCGTAGCACATAAGCAATGGTCCCAGAAGTTGATCTGCTGTTTCATAATAATCCCAAGGATCATATTCACAAGGAAGATCCTCAAGAAGAAGTTCTAACCGCCTCCGTGCCTTCATGAGCTGTAACAACAATACATCATATATGTATTACTTACTCTCAGCAATCACCCTTCCAAATCGATTCTTTTACATCAATATCCTGTCTTCAGTGAATGATACTCTAGTGAAAAGACCATATTTCATTGTTTCCTTCATTTTAAACTTCCTAAAGCATTAAACTTCCTAAAGCATTAATTCAATGAAAATTATAAACACATGGATCTAGCACCCCAAATACACTAACTATGACTTTCCTTAAATTCATTTGGCTGTAAAAAGATATCATCTTCCTCATTATTCCATCTATCAAATATCTAGGAGTCTAAATTACCTCCAGGTAAGAGTTTGCTTCACTATGACAGAACAAAGGAAAGTCCACAAATAAGAAATGAAATCAAATAAACAGCTCCATTTGGTCCACAAGAAATTAGAATATCAAAAACAGCATATTAGCTTATTTAAAAAAAAAAAGTATATTAGCTTGCTAGTAGCCCTTGATTGACTCTCATATCATTTGTCGCAAGACAGACTAGTTATTGACGAAGAACTCTATAAACTTTGCATGTTTTATTCTTTTTCTCTGTGATTCAAACTCAAACACAATATACATATATATAAAAGAAGATTGAGTAAGAAATAATAAGAGGATTAAGTTCTCAATTATTGATTACTTGATTTTAGCCATTAGTTAGTGATTTGACTTTGACAAATCTCCTTCTAATTTTTAGGAAAGACCTTTCCCTTATAATTATCCTCCTAACTTTCATCAAGGAATTTTTTCCTTACAATCCTCCTCTTAATCTTCAGCAAAAAAAAATTTCTCCGAATAGTTTGTTTCCTTATCAAACGATTTTTTCCTTTGAAGAGTTTATTTCCATATCAGCCCCCTCCAGGTGGAGACTAAGTGTAAATAAAGTCTCATATTGCTGCAAGGAGAAGAAATGATGCTCTTGGCAAAGGCTTGGTTAGGATATCTGCTATCTGATTTGAAGAGGGCACAAACTGAATGATGAGATTAACCATGCCTACCTTTTCTCCAACGAAATGGTAGTTTATCTCAATATGTTTTTTTTCTGATCATGAAAGAGCGGATTAACGGACATATGAAGAGCACTGAGATTGTCACAAACAATTGAGAAGTATGAGGTAAAAGAATAGCAATGTAATAAGAATGTGAGCTAGGGTATTTCAGTGGTGGTAAAGGCCATGGACCCGTATTATGCTTCTGAACTGGATCAAACAACGGTAGGTTGTTTTTAAAACACCATGAAACGCAATTTCCACCTAAGAAGATACAATAACCAGTTCAGCTTCATCATGTCACGAGGCATCCTGCCAAATCAGCACCTAAAAATGTATATAAGGAGACAAGACTTCGAGATTAAACTGTACGCCATAATCTTGTGTCCTGTTGAGATAGCAAAGGACTCTCCACTGCCTTGAGATGTAATAATGCCAGAATGTTGAAAAATTAACAAACTTTGCTTAGTGCATGTTGAATGTTTGTTCGAGTAAATCTGAGGTATTGAAAAGCACCAATAGTACTTCTACAATAAGTTGCATCTATGAGTTTGTTGTCTGAGTCATAGTACTTGTCCTTGAGGACCATAGGAGTAGCATTAGGAGCACAACTAGTCATACCAGGGCGACCAAGCAGATCCTTGATATATGCCTCGAGAAAAAATAACTCCTCCAGTGAAGTTGTTCCACTTTAACACCTAAAAAGAAACTTAAAGATCCAAGATCCTTTATGGCAAATTTTGAGCTTAATTGTTGAATTATGTTTAAGATAAACAAGTCATTGTTTCCAGTCATCAATATGTCACCTATATAGACAAGAAGCAGCATTGTAACTGATTTGTGGTCGTAAACGAACAGGGAAGAATCTGTCTTGCTACAATAAAAATCAATGTAGAGAAGAAATCGAGATAGGCAATCAAACCAAGCTCGAGGAGCTTGTTTTAAGCTGTAAAGAGACTTGTGAAGAAGCATACATAGTCACGTTTGTGTGGATCTACAAAATCAAGAGGTTGCTTCATTTACAGTCTCCTTGAGATTTCCATGCAAAAAGGCGTTCTTCACATCAAGTTGGCTCATTCACCAGTTTAGTGAAGCTGAAAGGGCTATGACAAGCAAATTATAGCGTAGAGAATGACTGGGCTGTAAGTTTCATCAAATCAATACCTGAAACTTGCACAAAACCATGGGCAACAAGGCGAACCTTGAATCTTTCAACAGAGTCATCCTCCCGTTGCTTAATATGATAGAACCATTTTGAACCTACAATATTCACATTTTACGGTCGAGGAAGTTAATGCGAGTAAGGGGGAGCAAATCACACTAATTTACAAGAAAGCTCAAGATCACTTGAAGACTCATGGCCACATAAGCACACATGACTGTATGAGTTTGCTAGCTCACGGGTTCAAGGAAAAACATGGTCAACTGATGTCGAAAGACCATGGCCACCTTAAGGAAGAGCAAGACACAATCCAAGATGAATCTCAAGGCCTCATGAGCATGAGAGGCCACGGGTTAGGCACCATAAAAGATGAGTGTTGCGGTATGTACCATCCAAGCTTGGTGGGGTGCGGTTTGGGTTGTTTAATGGAAAAACAAGGCAGGTTGAGCAGTATAAGTGGAGATCATGGCCTCATGAACTGTCCAAGACAAGGCCATGATGCTTTAGGCCATGGGCAAAGTACATATGGTGATATACAAGGGATAAACACAACACATGATGGGCTCGAAAGGACTATCACAAGTTTAAGGGCCAAAGAAACTCAAGAAGGCCTTCCAAACTTTTGTTCAGGAGTGGATCCCCGAAGGAAAACGGCTAGGGCCCGATTTGTAAACCTATAAGAGAAAAAAACAAAGCCCATTCAGCCAAAAGAGAGCTAGCCTTGCCAAGCCTTATAAAATAGGGTCACATGGCTTAGAAGATTTCTCACCTAAAAGATTTTTATTAGTAAGGTGGACAACTCATTAGAGAGTTAATATGGACAGCTCATTAGAGAATTAATAATTTTCATGTATATTTAGGAATGTAATAACTGTACATAGTTATATAATTATAGTTTAGATATTCTGTAATTATGCTATAAATTATTTTTCTTTCTTAAAGTACTATTTTTTAGAATTATAAATCAGAATTATTTCTATTTAATAGAAAGTCGATGAATGGCAAAAGTATTCAGCTCAACAACATAATATGATATTAGAGCCTGAATTTGTATTTTTTTTAAAGTGTTTTGATATTTTTTAACTGTGTTTTTCTTCTGAGTGCTTTAATAATTCAGATATTTTTGTGATCTTCGTCTTAAAATCTTCGTTATTTTTTTTGTTCTCTTTCGTTGTTTCAAAAAGATAACTTCCTAAAAGATTACGTTTAAATCTTTCAATGTTCAATTCACCAAAAAAAATTACTCTACTTAGAAATTTCAGTTTCGACTATTTATAACAAGAAAAGAATTATGGGGTCATATAGATGGAAGCGATCCAGCTCCTACAGACTCTGAAAAGTTATTCCAATGGAATGTTAAAGATGTTAGAGTGATGACTTAGATTTTAGGGTTCAGTTGATCCTCTTATTGTACTTAATCTAAAGCTATATAAGAATGTAAAAACCATGTGGGATTATCTCAAAAAAGTGTACAATCAAAATAACAGTGCAAGACATTTTCAGTTGGAGCATGACATTGCTAATTACTCTCAGGGAAGTCTCTCTACTCAAGATTATTTTTCTGAATTTTAGAATTTATGGAATGAATTTACTGATATTGTTTATGCTGACATAACTGATGCATCTCTATGTATAATTCAAAAAGCTCATGAATAGAGTAAGCGAGATCAATTTTTGATGAAATTGCGGCCTGATTTTGAGAATATTAGCTCAAACTTGATGAATCGTGTTCCTTCTCCCTCCTTGGATGTTTGCTTTGGAGAACTGCTTCGTGAATAATAATGCCTTTTAACCCAAACAACTTTTCAGCAAAAGAACACAATCAATCTTGCTTTTGCAGCGCAAGGAAAAGGAAAAGGTAGAGATATGAGCATAACACAATGTTACAGTTGCAAAAACTATAGTCATATTGCTACCAATTGTGGAAAGAAGTTTTGCAATTACTGTAAGCAACCAGAACACATTCTCAAAGAATGTCCCACACGTTTTCCAAATCGCAAAGTCAATGCTTTTTAAGCTGGCTTAAATAATTTTGCTTTAGCAAGTATCAACAATCAATTTGATGCACCAACTTTATCTATACATCCTACAACAACTCCATCAACAGTTGCACTAGTTGTAGTTACTCTTGAAACAATACAACAAATAATTGTTTTAGCTTTTTCAGTCTCGAGTCTACAAGGTAATGATACTAATCTCAACTTTGCCTTGTTAATTCTATTGTTTCAAATCACATGACCAACTCATCTCGTATGCTTAAAAATATTCGTAAGTATCATGATTCATTAGAAATTGAGATTGCTAGTGAGAGTACTTTACCAAGTACTAAAATTAAGGAGATTAATCACATTTTCAAAAATGTTTTTATATCACCAAAGTTATTTGTTAGTCTTATTTTAGTTGGTCAATTGATAGATGACAATTGTGATGTGCATTTTTCTCGTAATGGTTGTCTTGTGCAAAATCAGGTGTCGAGAACGACAATAATAAAAGGGCCTAAAGTCGAGAGATTATTTCCTATTCGCTTTTCTATTCCTCGTGCCTTATATTTTGCTTGTACCACTATTGACAATAAAAGTGAAATATGGCATAAACATTTAGGACATCCAAACTTTAATATTTTATCTCATTTGCTGAATTCTGGTTTATTGGGTAATAAAAATCCTCTTTCGAATATTTTTTTGGATTGTTTTACATGTAAATCAGGTAAGAGTAAAACACTTTCTTCTCTGTCTATCGGTCAATGAGCTGTAAAATATTTTGAAGTTATTCATAGTAATGTTTAGGGCCCTACACCTGTTATTTCTCATAGTAAGTATAATTATTTTGTGACATTTAT